AGATCTACTTTTTAGTGACTTTCTGAGGCTGAATTAAATTAGTCTAGCATCATTTGTAGACATAAGCTTTCTCCTCAAGATGTTTTGGACAACGTTGTGTATGCACGTTGTTATAACACTGACCATCAGATGCAACTTCTCATTCAAGCATCTGCGATGATGGCAGAATCGAGGTTGGATATAAACTATTTTACATATATGTTTATTTCTTAATGGCGATCAAAATATTTAATTGTGATATTAAATTCAAAAGAAATCATGTCATTCAAATTTTTTTCGTCGTTTAATCTCACATTTATTTAAATGTTAGTTTCGATATACATCTAAAAAACACTGTATTTCGAGAGTGATGTAAAACAAGTATATGGGGGTCTTTATATTTTAAATTTGTTCAGATTATAACCCATTTAAACAATTTGTAGATACGCATTGCTTGTTGTTGACAGTGCCACTGCGTTATTTCGCACTGATTTTTCTGGACGCGGTGAACTTGCTGCACGACAAATGATGCTTGCTAAATTTTTACGAATGCTTTTGAAACTAGCTGATGAGGTTAGTTGATAACTTCTTTTGCTTGTACTTCTTACTCGCCTTTATCTATTAAAGGCTATTATTGTAATGCTTTTTTAACGGATTGTGCATATTGACGAAAGGTGTGGGGCTTTTCAGTTTGGCGTTGCTGTTGTAATAACTAATCAAGTAGTGTCACAAGTGGATGCAGGTTGCGGTATGTTTCAAGGAGAAACTAAGAAACCAATTGGAGGGAATATCATCGCTCATGCTTCAACGACTAGGTTATCTAATTTTTAGCTTATCGAACGTGCGAGCATAACTTGGCTTCTGAGGACGAAAAAGTTCTGTTGCCATCTGAAAATTAATGTTATTTAAAAACATTGTTATATTAAGAAGATTTTTCATGCACTGTATATTTCAAGAGTCTTTTTAACTGAATGTTGAATATTGATTTTTCGGTAGAAAAAAATTGTTTCATCCGTACTTTATTGCAGGCTTTATCTTCGCAAAGGTCGTGGAGAGACACGTATTTGTAAAATTTATGATTCACCATGCCTTCCAGAAAGTGAAGCAGTATTTGCTATTACTACTCATGGTATAAATGATGCTACTGACTGAAAAAAAAAATCATATATACATTTCTGTAGCTGATGTGTTTAATTTGATTAAATTATTGTATTTAGTTAAAAGTATTTTTTTTTTGCTTTATAAAACTCCGCATATGAAGATTTTTGAGATGACCGATAAAATTTCATACTCTTCAGTGCAGTATTCATACTTTGTTTTGTCTTTGAAAGAGATTGAAATTGTGGAATTGTTAGATGTTCGTCGAACCAGGTCTATTACTATTTGCTTGTTTAGGCATGTTGTGTTGGTGTTGAAGTTGTATACTTTCAGTAAACGGGTTTTATTACTCTATAAGTTGGTTAATAATTCCTCTGAATTCTTTCATACCTTCCTTCCAATGATGTAAATATCACAATTATTATGAAAACTTTGTTGTCTCTATATTTCCACCGAAGTTTCTTCAAATTTATGTTCTTTTCTGTTGTCCTTTTGCTGTAGAATTCTAGGGCCCAATTTCTTTGCTTGAGTTTGCTTGTTTGTTTGTTTTCCAATAAATATCTCTCACATTTTTAACTGCTTGAAGCAAGGCATTATGAAGAGCTTTCCAAGGAATTAATATTCTCATTTCAGTACACAATGTGAGTATTGAATGAACTGGAATTGCGTATGCAAAGAAAAAACTTGTGCAGAAGTTTTTTTCTTCTGAAGATTCAGCTTATTCGTACTGTAATTTTTCGTTGCAGTCCAAATTTTCGACAACAAAGTGATTAAACGTGAAATTATAAAAGAGAATTAGTGCTTGTAATGAGCTCCTTGGAGATTCATGACTAAGAATTAATCTTCTTCATTGTACGAAATTTACGATGTTGAGATTTTAGATCTTCAGAAGTATCTCATAGTGATTCTGAAAGTTATAAGGAAAGATGTTTGAAAACAAATGGATGGATTTTTTTGTTTTTCACTCTTATACTTACTTTCATGAAAATGTCTCTGATACTGCCTGCTGTTGCATCCATTTGCAATTAACAATTGCTGGCAGCAAGCAAAGAGTAATGTGAAACATTTTATAGCATCCATCACAAATTATAGTTGATATTTAGTGGAAGTTTTCTCGACGAATGCTTCAAAGGTTCCAATTTTGCATTTTTCGATGTGAATCATATCTGACCCCTTATTATGCATTTGAAAATACTCTCTTCCCACAAATTTATACCAAAGTAAGCAAAGAACAAAGCTCACTTTCAGTTGTCTTAGAAGTCTTCTTCACATGGAATCTCGAGAATTCTCTCAGACCGATCATCTGGCATTGATTTCTAGATCGAAAACGTTTTTCTCTCTAATGGCCGAAGTAATAATTTGCTCTTATCGAATTGTTAATTTCTGCAGTTTTTACTTTTGCAAGAAGTACGCTAAGAGCTAATAACTTAGATTTAGTATCGATCCTAACGGACATATCACCGTTTGCTTTTATTCTAATTAAACTTTGCTGAATTTACTCAGCAATAATCGTATAGATGAGGGTGAGATTACGTGAAAAAAACTTGAAACAATTGGCAAGGATTTATTGAGAGCTAAGCATTTCTTTTTAGCTTACTAATAATTAGTCAAATGCAAATTTTGGTCTATTATAGCTTTTTGATCACAACTTATGCCAGAAAATGACTCACTACCTGTAAGAAAGTGACTCACTGTGACCTACTATGACTTATTAATTTATGCAAGAAAATGATTTACTGTGACTCACTATGACTTACTTATGCAAGACGATGACTTACTACCTGTCAGACAAAAATGATATCTTTGAGCGTACAATATGAGTTTATTACCACTTCTTAATTATCAGTTCATGTAAATCATTAAACTGTGAATGGTTAATGGAAAAAGCAGAAAGTTTTGTTTAATATAAAAAAGTTTAAGCTTAAAAATTAGCAAATTTCCCGTGGAAAAATCAATGATTGCTATGAAAGTAAATGCAAAAAAATGCATGCTTATTGAGTGAATTATTTTTTGCTTGCATGAATGACCTATTAAAATTGTTATGCTAACATTACTAATTATCAATACATAATTTGCATAGTTTGCAAGCATTCATTCACTCATCAAGCTACTGACAATTTAGACAAATAAATTATCATCTGTTGACATTACTTTTAAAATCATCAAGTTCTTCATAATTAATAATCTCAACGAATAGAGTTGAGAAGCAAGCAGAAGAACAAATAATAGTTATTAGTTGATTACTAAGACAGATAAATAGATAATAATTTATGATGGATGTTATCGAGAATGAGTACAAGTCTTATAATCATTACAATCCTTTTTCCACTTATACCTTAACTTTTTATGCTCACAGCAAACTTTTCTGTTAAATTTAATTTTCTTCACTTAAAAACCTCAATAACTCAGCCTATTTTATCCATGCCTAAGAGCACTTATGCATGGACTACCTTTGTTGCTCCTCACTTTATCTCAGCCAGGCCTTTCTACTCAAAACTGATGCATTTTTAAGCATTTTCATTCCATATAATATTAAAAATGCAATGTAAAATTATCATTTTCAAATATTTATACAAGTTTGCATGTAGATCTTTTCTATGCATACATAATTATAGTTGTATAACAAATTCATTCAATGTGTATATCTGTTTGATTCATTTTAGTTAGGCTTAGGCTTAGGCTTAGCCTTCATGCATACACATATATATACATCGGAAAAGAATAATTTTCATAAATTTTACAAAAATTCCAAATATTTATAAAATAGTGCAGTATTATTTTGATTAAAGATAAAAGAATTAATTAGTAACTGATGATAGTAAAATGAGCTAATGAGATGATTTTTTACTTAAAATGTTAGCAGTAATTTGTTGTTATTTTTTGTTGTTATTTATTACTCAGTCAGATTTATCGTGATATTGAGTTAGCATTCTGAAGGAGTAAATCAAAAAGTAGAATCAGTCAGCTGATGAAAAATTGGTTACTCCTATTGATAGATAATAGAGAAATGACAAGAAGTCAGTCATTCACACACTTGACGGAGTATCGCTTGCAGAAGGTGTATTCATCAAATCCTGAGAGATTCAATCTGCAAAAATAGCTTATTCCCAAGGCTATTACTTCTTTCTTACTTACCACAAATTGTCAAAATTTATTAGCATTCTCTTTCATACTGCCATGCAAATGTATAATAAACATTTATTTTTTTGCATAAAATTTTAGCTTATTCTTTTTTTTCAATAATAATTCAGGCAGAAAGTAATTTGTTATCGATATAATTTACGCTCTAAAGTAAGCATTATTTGTACAAAAATGTTATTTCTTTTTCGGAATACTAAAAAATATTAATTTAAAACTGTGAGTTGTTTTAAGAATGAGATATGGCTCATTTCTATATGCTAGCAATGATAAGCAAAAGAAAATGTTTGTGCTTAAAATGGCAACATCGCATATATGCCTTAAATATGTTAAGTTTGTGCCTTAAAAAGCAACACAACAGGAAACTTAGTCACGAGTAGTACACTGCAATGTTGCCAGGCCTTTCTTCGCAAGCTTCATTTCAACGTAGCCAAGCGGAAATCTGTTAAGTCAGCTGTAGTAGCAAAAATTCATTTCATATATTCTTAACTTCTCATCGGCTCGCTAGACAATATTTTTTTTCGCCGTCTTTTTTGTTAAATATTTCCGTTCTACGCTTATGTCTATGCATTTGTGTATGTTGAAGCAAAGGCTTTATTTTATGTCATTTTTTTAAATTTATTTTTATTTTTTTTAAATTCATATTTTTAATAATTTTTCTGTGATATTATTATTATTTTAAATCATCAATTTTTAAAAGATCATTTTATTGAAAAGTTAACCATTTTTTCTATTTCAAATTGTATAATCTGAAAATGTTTCGTGCTTAACAAAGTATGTTTAATAATAAACAGTTGTAATTTAATATTCAGATAATATATTTCAGGCATAATTAATTAAAGTGAAATGCCTGAACGTGGTAGTATCAGCGCTAAGACAAATACTCCATCGTCATCAGTAACTTCTTTCGAATTACATTTCAACATAAAGTAAGCAATTTTTAGTTTACTTTAGCCGTTTCTCTCTTCTAATTAACTATAATTTTTATTCATTAATAATATTTGCTGTATTAAATATAATTTTTATTCCTTAACAATATTTGCTTTATTAAATATATAAAAAAGTATTACAAATGTTTTCAAGTGAGTGCATAATTCTTCAACAAACTTGTAGAATAGATAGATTATCAATAATTTTTAATATTTCAAAGGATAATTTTTTGAAAAAATATCAAAATTAAATGCGAACGTTGAACGTAGACTTATTGTTTTGTTCACGTTTCACTTATTGTAAAAGTCAGTTGTTAATTTTACGAGTTTCTTTTAGACAATAAAAAATATTTAATATATATCATTTAGCGTTTTTTGTGTAATTTTCGAAGGATTAATAATCCTCTCTTTGGCTTTAATTTCTTACATTCAATTCTTCTCATGCAATATCTGCTCGTTTATCCATTCTTTTTTCATAAATTTTATTTTTATACGAATTTGACAGCCATTTACAGACGGCAAGCCATAATTGACATTTTCCGCCTTTTTATCTCTTTTTTGAAGCGGAAACACGCAAGATGATTTGGGATTTGGTATGGGACAAAATTTCATTTCCCTTCTGTTGCTTCAATTACGAGCATATTATGAGTTCATTAAAAAATTTCATGAATATTTGCACTAAATTACAAACTTTATTTCATACTATAAAGTACTGAATAGAGGACAAAAGTAATCAAATGAAACTTATTTTTGTTTTCTGAAGACAAAATTTTGAACACAATGTCTTAACAATGTCGTAAGTATTGATGCAATGATAAGTATCAAATCTACATAATTGAATCTGAATCCGGCCAAGATCTATAGGAATGAATAAATTAGAATTCATTATTTGTTATAAAAATGAGAATTTTCAAGCTCTGAATAATACTAGCTTTTTTGATTGCTATCACAATTATAAAGTTTGAATTCCATCATTTAGCAAAAGTAGGTTTCTGAATCAACTGGGTAATTTTTTTGAAGCTGAACGCAGTACTCCGAATGTATGTATATAAGATGTTATGAATATACTTGTTTGGGAATGAACTTAAGACTCAAATAGTTAGAATGTTTATTTGATTTTGATTATTCAAAGCAAACAAATGCAGATCATGACTTGATCGTTGTGTTTATTTCTCCTTTTCGTTTTTCATCAAAAAAAAAGTTGATACTTGTTTAGTCTAGTCAAGTCTAGTCTAATTTGTAATTATTCTTAGTCCGAATTCTTTCATGTTTATAAATATGCCGAATAGTTTAGGATAGATGTAAACTTAGCTCATATTAATTTCAAGTTTCTTGTACAATTTCATCTACTCATTTTTTTCTTCAGCTAACGAATTTGCAGCAATTTCAAATCAAATTTGCATTTATTCATTTATTCTTAGTTTCGTTTTCAGTGAATTTAAAAATTTGATTGCAATTACAAACTTTTTTTGAAAAAGAAATAAGCTTTTGGATTTAATTTTAGAAAATAAATAAACTTTTTCTGATACTTTGCGATTTGCAAAATATTTCAGCAAATTTTTTAATTTGGATTTATATTTTTGGTATCATCCAAACAGCTTAACTGTCATCAATTGAAGCACTTTCAAAACTTTGCTTGAAGTCATTCCTTAACTTCTTGAAGAGAATTTAGCTTATACATATATATATATATATTTCAATATTTGAATTTAAAGGAAAAAGTAAATCATTATTTCAACTAAGATGCTGTGGAAACTAAAATTTACAATGATGGAATACTTAGGAAATACGATACGGGTGAGCCCATAACATTCAAGGTGGATGGTGGGCGATTCGAAAAGACGCGGGAAGAAGACATTAAAGCAGACGCACTTCTAAGAACCTACAAATTCCGTTCAGAAGTTATTTACAAAATTACGCTAACAACAAAGCCAGCTATTGAATTTCAGTAAATTTTATTGTTTGCGCATGATAATAAATTTGTTTTTGAGAAATTACATTTAAAAAAATTGGTGCTTTGAAGCTTATCACTGAACAAAACAATTCAGTACTGAAGTCAATTTAAGCTTTTTTTATTTTCTCTGAAAAATCTCTTTCGAACTTTCTGTCGAATTATTTTCCAATTTACTGAATACATCATTGCTATTTGCGACCAATTTAGTATCAGTGCAATTTTGATAAATTTTAGCTATGTAAAATACCGTAATGTGAAGTGAAAATTTCAGCGTATTACATGTATCAGGAAGTGATCTAGAATTACGACCGGAAAATATTGGTAGTGGCATTTATAGCGCGGAATGGAACACAACTGGTAATTACGTGACCCATAACGGGAAACGAGAATATATATCCATCTGTCTTCAGGTCAATAATTCACAGCTTAGCTAATGATAAATTAAAGTCAGCAGGTCTTTCTTTACAAGCAAAATAGCATAATATAAGTGAAGTAAAAAATATCAATAAAAAACTTTGACGAATTTAATTCTGACTTGAATTTTAACTTTAAAATAAAGAATTGTTGATCGTACTGAAAATAAAGTACTGTAAGTTAGATGCCATTCGTTTTAGTTCAAACTTCTTTGTGACTGTTGCAATTATTTGATGTCTGAGATGAACTAAAACTATGTTTCACTTTGTTGTTTGAAAATTTTACTTAAATTTATGGTTTTTCTGAAAAAAAGATAATGATAAGTACGTTAGTTTGAATGTAAAATCACCGATGGATTTGCATTCTTCCGTAATCCTAACTTTTGGCTAATCTTTTTGATTTCAGTTTCTCCTCAATTATTGTGCACTAAAACTAATGAAAAAAAAGTCTAGAAGGTAAATCTGAAATTTATTGAGTAATTTTCAGGGGCCTGGAAGGATACTGCAACGGAAGATACAAGCCAAGTTTTATCGTAATGATAACAGTCATGCAGATTACGGTGATAAACTTGAGGCTTTGATTTGGAAATGCGCAACTGATAGCAGTGGAAATGTTATTGTTGTAGATGAAATTGTAAAATGATCTCTTTTCTAGGGAGATAATTACACACAGTCTAGCAAAATTGTTGCCTGAGTATTATTCATAACAAAAACAAAAATTTAATATATATTGTTTCAAATACGGTGATCATTTTACTTTTAATTATGTAAATTTTTCTTCATTTTGATTGATTATTTTTTATTAAATTAAGTTTGTAAGTTTCTTATGCAAATAGATAATTTATTTTAAACTTGCAATGATCAACGTTATTTTGAATAGAAGTACAGAAGAATGATATTTAAAAATCACAACATGTGCGCTTGATCACATTCTGATCAGAATGTGATCAAGCAGTACATATCCATTTTCTTAGATCAATGCTGGAATGCTAATCAGTTTACTTTATAGTGAAATTCGTTTCACAAAAATGATTATAATTACTTTTCAAAATAAGCAATCCCTATAACAGGAAAATTATTCGGCAAATTCGGTCCACAATCATTTCATCTGCTAGTAATTATTAAAAATAAATATTTTGCATACTAAATTCCCAAAATACTTCAAATTTTCACATGAAAAAGAAAATGAAATAGTGTGATTATTGAAGACTTTACCAAATTTATACATTTAGCAAAATTTAGGACAGAAGTCGTTGATCATATCTGACCGTGCTGATGGATTTGATGTTTATTATCTCGTGTATAGAAAATTACTTTGTTATCGATTTGTACTGATTTTTTTTCTAAATTTACAGGATATTTGGATAAGATTATCTTTAATAAAAATTTGAAACTTTTTCTTCAGTGCAAAACTTCGATCCAAATAACTTCCGAACACAATCAAGCATATGATAAAATTTTAAAAATATTCATTAGTGACACACCAATTGCAATACTTTTTATTTCTGCTCACAAATATCGAATACATTATATACTAGTAACTTCAATTTTCCTAATAATGAAATGAAGTTAAATCACTTTGACAAACGTTGTGCATCCAGTCGTGCACCCCAGTAGCAATCGTTATCATAAGGATCTCCATTTAGAAGCCAATACCGCCCACCTGAAATTGTTCAGTTCAAAAGTATTCGATCAGCTCAGATAAAGTAAAAATTCATAAAGTTAGGAGAAGTTAGTAATAATAATCTTAAATAAGCAATATGTCCAAGTTTCTCATAAGCACTTACACAGAATTATTTGCCTCTAATAGAAGCATTTCAAGTAATTTATTTTGTGACTATTATAGCATTAAGATTCAAAAGTTAGTTATAAAAATAAAGTGCTATCGCTAGAAGCTTAATGATGCGTGTTCATAAAGCTAACTCTCTATAATGCTTCATTTCAGCTTCAGTGGTTTTTGAGCTTTAAAATTTTTTCAACAAAAAAAAAATAATGTCTCACAAAGAAAGAAGGATAAGAGATTCTGGCATTCTCAATTTGTCCTTCATTTGCTATTTTTTCAAAAAAAAAAGAAACTAATACAAATTTGTGTCTGTTGAAAATATCAACACCTCTGCGAATATTTTTCTCACAAATGCTACTTTCAAAATGTGAAATTTTTTGAAAATAAATATGAACAAGTAGACTGATTGTGAATATTAATATTAACAGACTCTTTCTTGCTGTATTATTAAGAATATTTTATGCAAAAAAAAGAAAAATGCAAAAAATTGCATGATATTTTCTTCCGTAATTTTTAAATATTCTTCATGCAAGAAATCTAAAAGTATTAAAATGTAAAAAAGGTTTGAAAGTAGTGCACAATTGGTTACAAAAATACTTGGAAAAGGCTTCTTGCAAGCAGTGCAAAGAAAGCATTTTTGATGCCAACAGTGTCCCATTGCTTGTAGATATGTTTCACTGATGGCTGATCCACATCCTAGCAATAAGTCTTCGCAGTAATCTCTGATAATCATTCTTACAGTGATCTCTGCTTGCATTATAATTTGGTTCTATTTTATTCTCTATCTATCACTAAAAATAGAGCAAGTAGCTACTTCTCTTGCTCTACTTGGCAATTGTTAAGCATGATTGTGCTCAATAATAATTACTGGAAAGCAAATATGAAGTATTAGATAATAAAGTCCACGTCATATTTTAGTGGATATGTCACTGGAACACAAATATTAATGTTTCTAAATAAAGTATTTTAATTTTTCAAACTTACTTTTACCAATAACAATTTTCTATCAAATGCTAACTCAAGAATAATCTTACAGACTCTATAATTTTGTAACAATTTAATATAATAAATTATTTTCATATGTTAAAAATTGATTTAAAAAGCAGACTGTAACAAGGTTCTGGTGCTTTCCGAGTGCACGCGACACACGTAGCATTACCGTCATTATTTACGTAATACTCTCGAGTTATATTTTCATTACAAATTGAACAGTGAAAGTGATTACGGTGCCATAAACGATTGTTGGCTATGAAGCCACCAGCACCGACAGTTCCTAAAATCAAACTTTTTATTTTTCAGCGCAAAACAAACGTTAGTTATAAAAAGTAAATAAGCAAATTTGATTTGTTTTAATTATTCTAAATAAATAAGCAAATGAATTACCTAAATAAGTCAGCTAATATTATTTGTTTTAGCTATCCGATTAATATCATTCGATTAGCGAGAGAAAAATTTGATCATCTGAGCTTGATTTGTAATATAATACAAGTCATACCAGAGCACTTGCCACATCTTGCATCTGTTAATCCTTTCATTTTACTAACTCTAATAGATCTCAAATAAATATTATAAACAGATGATAAAATTTGCATGCAACTAAAATTTGAATATGCAAAATTTCTATGACAATGACTAATAAAGAATTGCTGTTTAAAAGTAAAAAAGCAGAAAGAAGTTGAAGAATAAAAATTGGCAAAAATAAATGATAAATTAAAAAATATTGGAGAAATATTTTTTCAAAAAGCATAGATATATTTTTGCAAAAAACAAAAAGCCGAACAAATAATAATTTATTTTAATTTTGTATCATGACATAATTATTAAAAATGTCTATCATTCAGATTTAGCAAAGCAAAGTAGTCAAAACTAACTTGTGATTGAAATACTTAAAATGAAAATGATATTTCTAAAATAAAATAGTAATAACTTAATTGTGAATGAATTAATTCAATTGCAAAAATTTAGCACTACTGTAAAAGAATTAGCATGATATTTTCTAGTCTTAAATTTGTAATCAAACAATTATCAAACTGAAATAAAATCGAGTTCTGGAATCACTGCAAGCTAAAAAATTATCAGATCGTTGCAATTATTCTGTTCCTGTAATTAAGTACTGTAAAATAATCAACGATCAACGTGTATAGTTTTTGCTAAACATATGTTGCTAAAATTATAGCATTAGTAAAAGAAATTAAGAGCATATTTTGCAAATATCTTAAAGTTATGATTAATCGTGCTAACATTTAATTAATTATGCGAAATAAATTACCAATGTAACAATCATTCATATGAATGCTTGTTCAGAAATGAATTTTAAAAGATGGAAATATTAAAAGAAGTATGATGCAAATTAATTCAGAGTTGATTAAAAGATAAATCCCTCGAGAAGAAGGCAAACTAATCACAGTACTGATTCTGAGAAGAATGATAGATGATATGCAATTTTGTCATCTTTTCATATCAGATTATACAAAAAAATTTGAGACATTTTTTCCCCGAAAAAGAAAACACTATAGAGTTGAGTATGTATGTACCGTATTGGAGTACTAACAAATGGTCAGCAAAAATAACACAAATGCATACTGTACTTAAATAATAACAAATTATTTCTGTCATAAATTTGACAGGATTTTAGTCTCACAACAGATGAAGAAGAATGGAAAATAGTAGAAGTTTTGAGCTCAATGAAGAAAGCGATGCAATTTGGCATCAATGAAACCGACACTTGTGAAATGCTAATGAAGGTCAATTTGCCTGTTTCTTCAGAAATGCTACTCAGCTGTCACTTCCATAATAAGAGCTGACTCCGCATTTATTCCATAATGCTGATCCGGAATAGAACCGGACGACACATTCAACCATCGTCATCAATATTCACCTTCTTGAGCTGTTCATCAAAGATTTGCATCAAATTGATTTAATATCTTTGTTGAGCACAAAGTAATAGTTTATTTGAAATTAAACAAAAATCAGAAATTGCATTTCACTAATTTGCTTCCATTAACAGAGCTCACGTGATTCTCTTGTCTCCACGATTCAGCTACTTACCAATTAAGTACTTGATATTTAAAAACATTTGAAAAATATTCAATATTTAATTTATTATCACTCCATATTGAAAAATCCAGTAAAAATAAACCACTCTTCCCCAAAAATGGTAATTCAAGTAATAATAATAACAACAACAGTAAATATATCTATTATTAACAACGCAGATCACTTTAAATCCCTCGAAGAATATTCATACATTTTCCACGTACTGCCCACAGAAATTGCTTCCAATCCGCTTTACTCCATTCTTCATAGCTGAAAAATATAAGACAAAAGAGTGAAAATCTGTACTCAAAGCCTTCTCTTCTATAATACACTCCTAGAAACAAAAGTATGCTTGAGCACTAAGACTTGAGTTTTAAAAAAAGGATACTTTTTAGATGAATTCTATTTTACACTGAAGAAGTACTAAAATGTTAACAGCATATTTTTTTCTACGACAGAAGAAAAAACATATATTCACTTCATGTCGTTGCCATCTAAGCGCTCACGTATAGATATTTTGGTTCCTAAATCAGCAAATACAACAGATCTGCCTCTCATATCTTGACCGTTGGATTCAAAACAAAATTCTCCCATCCTACAAATCAAAATCAATAATTTTCCACTTAGTTTACATCACTGAAAAATAATTCATATCTGATAACTGGTATTAAAATAAGTAGTATGAACCGATCACTAAGAAGTATTAAGCATAAAACTAGACATGTCCCAAAAATGATTTTTAAGTTGAAGATCCGATTCACAAACAGTTCTATACATAGATATTTCTGCAAAACAGCGACCGACAAATTCTCATCATAAAGAAAACGAAATGAACAGAACACATTTAGAGGAGATTTGAAAAGAATTTGATATTACCGCCTAGAATTGTAAGTAAATGTTAAATCCATATCGTTCGCAACATGAAGTAACTGTGACAAATTGTTTCCATCATTTAGAATAAACAGTGGTTCATTGCTGCCACCCGTATCATCATTCTTAAATTAGCAAATCTATGTTGATTAATTATTCTTTAACTCTGTATATTTATTTTACAGTTATAACAAGGCTTGAAACTAGTTCGAAAAATGAAAGAATTATTTTTAGCTTATTACTAGATAGAAATAACTGAAAATTCAAAAACAATCAAAATAAACTAACACCATAGGTAGCTGCTGTAGGTGAGGAAAGCTTCATAACCGGAGCAGTTGAAATACTATCTTCGGAAATTTCCTTCTAAAACTATTGATATGGTAATTTCAAGGGACAAAAATTATAATAAATCTTTAAATGCAGCATCTGTTTTTCTAAATTTAAATCTGGCATTTTTGCCAAGCATTAAAAACTATTTCAGAAAAACTACAATCATGCAATAAATATTGTTTACGAACTGTCAATAAGATTTAATGTTGTGAGAGAACGAATTACTTTCTACTATTAGCAGCAGAAAAAAGATTAAAAAAGAAAGAAAAAAACCGTTTCAGAAACATCTTGCCCGCAGTCAGTAGTAGAAGATGTTGGCTGGAGTGACGATGAAATGTAAGCAGACGCTGAAGGATTAAGTACAGAAAAACTGCTTTTTAATTTTGCAGATTTTGCAGCATTTTGCAAAAACTGATCAAGGATTGCTTGTTGCGAAGAACTTGGCTTTGCATCCACAACGACACGAGCACCCGCTTCTGAAATTGACCTAGTTAGAGATTCATTTTTGAGTTTATATTTAAAAGTTTTGAAGTAAGATAAAGAAGTTTAAAAGCTTTTAAAGTAGTAGAAGAAACTCTTCTTCACACTTTTTGTATTAAAACAACTC